GTTCTGTATACAAATCGCAAAAAAAGTTACAACGACAAAATGAGATTTGCAAGAAAACAGTCCAAAACAGGGATACCAAATGCACATTACATATGAGATCTTTCATAACAGCAAAAAAATAGAAAGCATCCATTATCCTCGAGTTTTTACTACTCACTCTCTGACTAGCCTATACGTTGCAGATGCACTTGCCAGCGGAGATCCCAATGTTCAGGGAAGGTAGAAAAATTGGTCAAAGTTTATAGTGAGGATGGTAAGATAGTTTGCTAAAATTGCCAGACCAATTTTCGCCACCATAATAGCATATAACTTCCACCAGTCAATGTTTTTTAATTAGTAATTTATCTAGAATTATTAGCCTTGAAGGTATTTCAGTGAACACTTCCTCTTCCACGTTCTCTACTTCTGCCAAAGAAATTCTGATCTTAAAGGAATTTCCAAAACATTTTTTGCTATTATTAAGCACCTCCCTACTTCAACGGCTTCTAAGCTGTACAACTCACTTATATCTCCATAGCCGACTAATGCTAGATGCTTGCAATGGATGGGATAATATTTATACGGTTAGATAAAAAGCAAATTTGTTAGCACGTTTCCCCGCAGCGATTAGTCTCACACCTTTATCTCTACTCTGCTGTACGGTAGGACTCAAAAATCCTCTTCCATCACCAAAGTTTCACTCCCCTGTTTCCAAGTGCACAAAAGTTCCGCTGAGCAACCGCATCGTTAATGGCTTCAAAGCTGTACAGCTCACTTATATCTCCGTAGCCGACTAATGATGGGCGACCGGACAACATTCGCTCAGCGATCCGCACAATATCCTGGATTTTTACTCTATCAATTTCCGCTATGTACTCCTCAGGTCTTCTCGTACAACCATGATAGATTATTTGTCGTACAAGATCCTCAAAAATTGCTGGGCGAACCTCGAGACTTATCAAAAATTGAGATTTTAACTGGGTCCTGGCTCGTTTGAGTTCAACTTCATCCACGCCTTTTAAGAGACTGAAATACTGGTCGAGTATAACAATTAGCGCATCATTGATCAGCTTAGGGTCACTACTAGCATGTATATAAAATAGCCCAGCATCCGCGTACGAATGGTTGAACGCAGTTGCAGAATGGATCCAATTGTGTCTATTCATAACCCTGGTGTACAGTCGTGAGTACATTCCTTTCCCAGGTCCTCCAG